GGATGGCTGCAGGTTGCCCTCCCTGCTGACCAGCCCCTCCCCTTACCAAATTTGTGTCGACACGAATCGCAAAGTGTCGACACATTCGAGAATTCGGACACACTCCTCGGTTCCCAAGCACAGCACAGTATGGAAAACAAAGCGCTCGCATATGGTTTAACTATAAAGAACCATGGGGGAGTATCGACAGAGCACAAACTGACGGGGCGGGCGGGTATTACCTCGGGCCTATAGCGAGGATCTTTGCTAGCACGGGCTTTAATGAGCCCTCGAATTGCTATTCGGCGCGCCTTCTACTGGGTGTCCACCCACACACAGGACGCGCTGGCAGCCGGCCCCCTCCACCGCTCCCGCCACTAGAGTCTCTGTGGTGGGGAGTAGCGCGGCGGGAACAGGAGGCTCCCAAATGGGGGGTGGGGGTGGGATTCGTATCCGCGAGTGCCCCAGGCGTTACTGGGGTAACCGCTACGGACCCCCGCGAGGGACGCGGCCCACCCCGCGGACTCGCGCTACCCCCGCGGGAGGGTTGTGCGACGTAACCCCGCGAGGGGTTGCGTGATGTACCCCCGCGAAGGACACGGACTACCCCCGTAGCCTCACGCCACCCCCGCGGGGGTAGCGCGCCAGACCCCCGCGAAGGACGCCGCCTACCCCCGCGGGGGTACCGCGAAGCCTCGGGGGTACGTCGCGCAACCCTCCCTCGGGGGTAGCGCGAGCCCGAGGCAACTTTACGCACTGTCCTGTGTGTAGGTGGACACCCAGTAGATCAGCTTGAGTAGGGTGACAGGGGTTGAGGGGTACCCCTCCGAATAGCAGTTCGGGAGCTCCTTAATACCCCTCGGGAGAAGTGCATATCACCTTTACGAACTATTTAATTGAACTTGGGAGCAAACTGCCAACTTATGTGGGCATAAACTCAATGTGTTATAAAGGGAGACCGACGGTGAACGTTGTGTTGTTTGAACTTGGCATTCCCTTTCCGCTTCGAAATTTGTTGGTACTACCAACCTTATAGTTGTGTTAGTCGAGCAATAAGTTGTTACAAGCACTTTGTTAATTCTCACGACAATAGAGCTCAAAAATTATGATAAAAGAGTTACACATTTGATCCCTATTCCAGAACGAGCTTTGTCTATGTTTTCATAGCGTGACTTTTATTATTTTCCCCGAGCAGAATTTGTTTCTCTATTGTCACATTGTCACAAAGAGAACGTCAGAGCTTCAGCACAAAGCAGAGCGAGAGCAGTTTGCAGTTTCCGCGGGTCGAATAGTGTGTTCAACAGGTTCAGTAGTCAATTTCGATAACTTTCCTTGCTTAATTATCTAGTTAGCTTGTTATTTTACCAGTTCCATAACTCACTTGCTGTCGATTGGCATTAGACTTGCCGTGTTTTTCCTATTTTAACCGACAAATCGTACAACTGTAGCTCAGAGCTCAAACCGTGCTGTAATGTAATCGTTCGGTTTTACCCTGTATTATTATTATGCTATCTTACGAGTGCTTTGTGAGACATTCATTTGCATGCTCCACGATCGTGGTTATTTTCCTGCTGAAGACTGAACAAAGAATCTTGAAAATGTACATTAAATTGTTTGGTTAGGTTTCTCCCCTTTTTCTTTGCATCAGATATCTATTTTTCTGTGAGGCAAGGCATTCTTTCGAGAAAGGTCTGCTTGAGGTACATTATCAGAAACTAATTGGGATTTTGCTGTTGGGTTATAGTCAAGGGGATGATGTATGTGGCTTGAAAAAAATGTCCACACCTTAAGTCTGAGTGTTTGAATTGTAAATGGAAATTGGGACTTATCTTCACTGTTTACCACCTCATTAGATCACAATAATCCATTTTGGTAAAGCTGAAATGCAGGAGAATGCGGGGACAAGTTTTAGAAATCACTTTGTTATATCATAGTGATTTCCATGTTGTTGTTCCCCGCATTCTTCTTTTCAGCTTTACCAGAATGCTTCATTGTCACACTCAATAAATTCTATCAAACTATTGGCATTTTAAAATGACTGAAGTGTCTGGTGTACATTCTCACCTTTGCGCAGTCTTTTATGCTACCAGTGTACCATGGAACTTTACCTTCTGGAACTTCGGAAATTATTCTTTTTTTCCCTTTTTTTGCAGTTGATTAATATGGCAGGAAGAGCGCCACGAAAGGCCAAAAATCTTGCCAATTTGAAAATTGGCACTAGTCAGAAGCCTTCTCTGAAAGTAAGTAGACCTTTATCTAGTATTTGCTAGTGTTTGAATTACAATCACTAATACCTATGTCTTGATTGCACCATTTTTCCTATCAGAAACGATCAACTGAAGATGTTTCTAAACCTTCATTGGATTCTTTGCCCACTTCAAGTGGAAAGCAGGGTCTAACTGATTCTAGTGGTGCAAAACCTTCATCGGATTGCCCTTTGCCCACTTCAAGTAAAGAGCAGCGCCTAACTGAATCGAGTGGTGCTAAACCTTCATCTGATTGCCCTTTGCCCACTTTACGTGGACAGGATGAGGATGTTACTGAATCTAGTATTACTAAACCTTCGATAGTTTGCCTGCCCTCCTCTTCAAATGGTCAGGGTCTGGGCAGAGCGACTGGTCTTGGTTATCGGCCAGACCTGTTCCATCGATCTTTGGTGGTAAGGGCCACAGATATTAGTAATCTATTCAGTGGAATTAAAAGTTGTCTTCTGCTAATCTTTATTTTATGTTTTAGGCATATGGTTCCTCTGATTCTTCTGATTCTGATTCTGTAAACCATAGTAACAAGAAACCTGATTCAACTCCCGCAGAGGAAGTGTCTTCTTCACTTGTAATGCGGTGGTCCAAAATGTTTCCTTTGAATAACCAGACTGACAGTGTAAGGAGGATAGTTGTGTGTTATTTATCTAAATCATCATTAACAACTATGTTGTATAAATGTGAAGCAATTATCCGACATTTTTTTTTTTTTTTTTTTTTTTGCAGAATCTCCCTGCTAATACCGCAACCAGCCCTAAACTTAAGCGGCCTGCTCCAGCGGTTCATTCAAAGGTAGACCTAAAGTCTTGCAGCACATACCGGCAGAGTTTATTTGCTCAGAAGCCCCAAGATGATGGTGGCTTGTCACCACCAGTTTCATTGACTGAAAGTTTACCAGACCTGAGAAATACAGCTGCCAAAGGAAAAGACTCCAATGTTTCATCATCAACAGCAGCATCGAGTGACACAGTATCAGATAATGTAAGAGAACTGGAGTGATGGTCTCCAATCAATTGGGAAGAAACAAACATGATCTAATTATTTTGTCTTTCTTTCCCTTTGTGCAGGATTGCTTTGATTCTTCTTTTGAGTATGCATCAGAAGATAGCGATGAATCCAATAAGAGCAGCAATGGATCAAAAGTAAAGGTTCAGAAGTCTAAAAAAGAACCTTTAAGTGGATTGGTGTCGCTGGGCAGGAAGAAAAAGAAGCAAAAGTTAGAAACTGTAAGGGGCACTACTTTCCTAGTTTTGAACTGTAATTGGCATTCTATTTGTAATCCTACAATTTATTTCTCAAAATCAGCAACTCCAAGGACTTCCTAGAAAATCTTTTCTATTGCCCAGCATTACTAATTTAATATCACAACCAAATATGCATGTGCAGGTGAGAAGGTGTCTTATGCTAGCGTACAATTCACTATCAAGTAGCATTTTAAGGGAAACTGTTCCTAATTTGTTCATTTCAGAAACAGTCTGATGTTGCCCAAGGATCAAGTTCAAAATTTAAGGTTCGTGTTTTAATATGAATTGAATCACATATCAATATATCATTGATATTTATCAAAACTGAAATGGTGTGTCATGGAGACGTGTCAAATTGATTTAAACTGTATGATTGCAGCGACACAACTTGCCAGAACTCAAACAATCAGACAATTTTGAGGACTTGAATAAAAAACAAGACGGATCAAAAATCAAGAGGGTCCCTCTGTCAAGTGACTCTGCTTTGACCAGGAAAGTAAAAGAGCATCAGAAGATTGGAAAGGTATTAGGCAGTAGTATCCAAATGTCATACTTCATGTTTTAAAATTATTTTTGGCATTTTAATTTTTTACTCTTTATTTTTCACCACAGCTTACTAATTTCAACAGTAGGTCTCAGAGCCCTATCTCAGCTGGTCTGGTCACTCATTCTCTCTATGACGATGATACTCCATTTCCAAACTCTCATCAGGTAAGGTGTCTAGTCTAATGCTATTTCACAGTTACACTATACTGAAGTATTTGAAGTGAGCGTGTTTGTAATTTATTTATTGTAGGATTATTCAGATGCACCAGGTACTACAGCTGAACCTGCTTTCCTTAAAGCTCTGTCAAAACCAAACCTGCACAGATCAGTGAAATCCAAGGTCTTATTCTAGCATAGCATTCACTATCAAGTAGCATTTTGAGGGAACCTACCCCTAATTTTTATTTATTTCAGACACATTTGGATGAACGTGGTGGCACTAGAGGGGAAACTTCCCAAGAATCAAGCCCAACTAGAACACCTTCCAATTCAAAGGTTAGTGTTACAACATTTTTCTTGTCCTAACATGTATTGAATTACAAATTAATATCATTGTTATTTACCTCCACTAAAAATGGTGTTTCATGAAGACGTCTCAAATTAATTTATTCTATGACTGCAGGGTCATTCTTTTTCAGAACCGGAACAAGTAGATCATTTTGAGTACTCAAGCAAAAACAGAGACAGGTCAAAAGATAAAAGAGTCTTTCTGCCGAGTGGCTCTGCTTTGACCAGGGAAGCAAGAGAGAATCAGAAGATTGGAAAGGTATTAGGCATTAGTACCCAAATGTTATACTTTATAGTTTAAAATTGGCATTCTTTGAATTTTTCTTTATTTTCCACCACAGAATATCAATTTAAATCGTGGGTCTGAGAGCTCCTCGTCTGAGTCTGATCTTGTGCTCACACCTCCTCAACGTAACCAGGAAGTTATTTCAACTCCAATCTCTCCTCAGGTAAGACATCTGTCAGCAGTATAAAGTTACTCGCATTTGAAGTGAACCCGCTTGTCATAATTTATACTTCTATTTTAGGGACATTTCTATTCACCTGGCACTAGAAGGGAATCTTTAGGTAAAGTTCAGCAGTCAAAATCAAGAGCACCATCTAAATCAAAGGTTAGCGTTCTGATATTTGTCTCGTCCTTGCTTTTCTTGGTGGTGCATAATTGCATCCTTATCCATTCCTTTCGTTGTTATTTATGTTAACTTGATTGGTGTTTCATCGATGCTTCTTCAATTGATTAAAACTTCAATTTCAGGAACTTGAGTCCTCAGAACTGGCTGCATTTTCCCTAACAAGTCCTGACCTGCCTAAAGTAAATGACATTTTTTTCATATTTTTGTAAGTATTATAATGTTATTAACAGTCTTACTGCATTGCTTATTTTCCAGTTTGATGTGAAGGAAATTCTTAAAGATAAGTTGTCAAAACTGGAAAAGAATCGTGGACGTATTGTTTGGACCAACTTAGAGTCTGGTCGTCCACTCACCAAGCAGCAAAGGAAAATTATGGTCAGGGTTCTGGTGAGATGGCTGTACATGAACCATGCAAGGTGAGCTGATCATTAATATTTAGCATTTTGTTTTTTTAAAGTATTTTTGAAGCGGGAAGAAACATCTTGTTTGATATTGAAGTGTTATAAATCTAATTTAAATTTTTCAGTACTCCAAAATCAGTTACATCTGACATGAAAGAAGGGCTTGCAAAGTCAATTGTTACTGATTACCCGAATTTGCAATGTCAAAGCCTTAGTAGTGAGAATCTTTCACCCTGGGTAATATTTAGTTTGCCTCTTATTGCATTTTTGAAGTTTTCAATTATTGGTCTTGTGTAATAGGAAATTGCATTTTTCATTTGTTTCTCTTATCTAGTCACATTATTACAACAGAGGCGCTAACACAGGGTGGATTCCCAATTCTGCTAGGCACATTCAAAAAAGAAACAGGTCAAGAAAAACCACCAAAAAAGTTGTAGAGGAGGAGCAAGAAAATTCCTCTGAGTATGGGTCTGATCAGGTAAAAATACTATGAATATTATCAAAATCATAATTACTATTCACTCTAAACTATGTTATTCCAACTTTTATGTAGTATTTTTCTAATCTGTAACTTTGTTTTCAACAGATTGAGGCACTAGGCCAGGTCCTCGTTAATTTAAGGACCAAGCAGGATATTTTCAGGGGTATGCAGGCTTGTTTTAAAACAAGAAAGGTGGAAAGAAAGAGAGGGGAAACCATTGACTTCTTTCTGAACAAGTACCCCCATTTTAAACATTTTGATGGTGAAGTAGTGAGTATCTGTGAACATATTTTTACTTTTTGTTTTCTCTTTCCTTAATATTTTATCTTTCTTCTTAACTACATTATTGATGCTGTATATGAATTCCCTGATCAGATTTTTCAAGAATATTCAATGATGTTTTCCGAAGCACGAGACTTGCAAAGGCCATTTGCCTCCAAATTAGATAAAATCTTGGCATTGGAGCCAGTGCGAAGAATGGACCTTAAATATGATGATGGTATAAAACTGATTGCATTTCATTTTTCATCGTGCTTCTTCTTTGTGTACCTTGCAATTACTTAATGAAGCAAACGCCTCTTATGACTTTGCAGATATTTTGAGAGCGCTGATACTGCTGTCCCATCAGCTGCCACATGATATCCCTCTTCCCAAGGAGAAATTTGACTACTCCTGGGCACGGGAGGAAGATTTATTTGTTATTTTGGAAGTAGGTATTTGCCTTTGCCCCCATTTACTTTGCTAGCTAAATGTTGTGCTTTCTAATTTCAATTGAAAACAAATTTAATAAGATCCTTTCACTTTCTAAATTTTTTATCATTTTGCCTGAACATTCATCAATTGTAGGCCCTGCAGCTTGTGTATCAATTATTTCTAGTAATATTCTCTATCTTCTGCTTTTCTCCCATCCAAATTTCAGCCCAATGACAACATCACCGATTATGTCATAGAGAGAATGCGAAACTCAGCTAAAGCTATCCAGCCCTATTCGATCCTTGTTCAGAGCTCCATCGACAAGAAAATTACATCTTCGTTCATTGTACTTGATTCCAAGGAGCTTGAGATCCAATGTCCTAGACAGAGGCCCCTGCTTCATGCACTTTCTGTATTGATGCAATGCTACTGTGTATTCAATGTACTCCATCCATTTGGATGGCGCAACACCTTACATTTTGTACAACATTACTTTATGAACATCAGAGAGAAACAATATCACAGATCTTCAAGGGGAGGAGAATATACTTCTTCTTCAGAAATGGAGCTGTGGGAAAGATTACAGTAATTGTTTAATTGTCATTATTGCTTTGCATTTTTAATTCTTCTGAGAAGTACAGTAATTAATTGTTGATTTTGTCAATATTGTTCTGTTTTTTTATTTCTACTGAAAAGATGAAGTTTTGCTTTTACTCAAGACGATATAGTCCATTGCTGTGCTTTCTTAGTTCTCTTTCTTCAGATATGAAGCCGTGGGAGAAATTACAGTATTTGTTGATTTTGTCACTATTGTTTTTTATTTTTATGTGCTCTCAAAAGCACAGTATTTGTTGATTCTGTCACTATTGTTTTTTGTTTTTATGTGTTCTCAAAAGTACAGCATTTGTTGATTCTGTCACTATTGTTTTTTATTTTTATGTGTTCTCAAAAGTACAGAACTTGCTGATTTTGTCATTGTTTTGTATTTTTATTTCTACTGACATAAATAAGTTTTACTTTTTACCCAAGACTTTATTATTGTGAGGAGTACCTATTTTATTGGACCATTGCACTAAAATATTGGTTTTGCATTCGAATCTGGTTTTGTTCAAACTAAAATTGGGATCCGAGTTATATTACAACAAATTTTGAGTTATATTACTATAAACTTTAAACACGGGAGGACGGCAGAACATTCAAAGTGATGTTGCAAGAAAAACGAAAGAATATTGGAATATTCTGAGGTGCCATTTAAGTTTTGTCCATCAGATTAAAGGTCTCTGTTTCACAAAGAATACAGGCGGGTGGATGTCAAAAAGGCCTTGACCACAGTTGGTACTTGTAGTGGTGCAGGGAGCCTCTTTTTGGGCAACTTGAAGTTGTGACTGTCTACATACAAGTTTTCCTAACGAAAGAATAGTGCGCTTCGAACAGACCAGTAAGACGTAATTGCTCTCCCTCCCCAATTAGAACAGGCCGCCATTTAAACTGCCCTAGTTTTCAGAGCACGCAAAAGGTAAGGGCGGCTGTACTGAGGGCTGACTTCGACGTGGCCCCAGCCGGCCGGCACCAGGTATAGCGCCTGCAACGCGCTGGGTAGACCAGCCCGCCAAGCAGTTGTGTGGAGTTGGAGGCCCGCCCTGAGCGCCCAAGCGCAGCAGATGGTCGGGCAGGGAGGGACACGTAAAGCAGGGTGCAGCATTTTTATTTTTCGATCGTTAATAGTAAGGTTCCAGAGAATATTATGCGTTCCCAGTAGATTTTACTCTTATCGGAAGACATTTTCGAATATTTTAGAGTTGGGTGGGGTTTTCCTACACCGGGGAGCATATTGCACCATACGTTTCCTCGTGTCGGCCCAGGGAACGTACATTATGGGAGCGCCGTCAACATCAAAACACCATAGAATTCTTCTGATCACATTCGAGTATTCAAACGGTTCGCGCGTTCGCGCCACTTTCCAGGTGTCTCAACACCCACAAAGCTCACACTGGCCGATTTGGCAACGCCGGCCGGGGACCGGGGCTATGTCAGTGACAGTTTTCGTCGGCATGCGGAAAGAACATTCTGTTAATTAACACAGTATTATATCCCCAGTTTTGTCTTGAATATTGTGTTTTCCGATACCGTTGATGAAGTGAGTTTCAGAGCTCTTTATTTTTCAGGGGTATTAGTGTAGTGTACTTTTTCAGCAAAGCGAACAGAAGCAGGAAAGCAAAAAGTAAGTAGAACGCAAACGTCGTTTCCGATTGGTCGAGAGCTTCCGCCGCTACTCCTCGCCGGAGAGGTAACGGCTCGGCCAATCACGAACCTTCATGTTCTACTCGCTCCCATTCTTTTCTTCCTCTCTAGCTCAAGCCTAAAGCCTAGTACAAGTACAGCAGCACAGCTCAGCACTACAAAGTGTCTCCTCATAGTTTTCCAGAACCAGAACCAGAATTACAACAAGTAATCGACGTTCATCGAAGGAAAAGAGTACGTTTAATAATAAGTTGCTATACGGAACGTGGTAATCACTTTAATCACTTATTTCACAAATATCAAGTGTGTTTGGATTTCAGAACTGTTCACCCATTGTCTGGTTGAGGTTATTGGTGCTTCTCAATCAGTTTGATCAGTTTGCTGATACTTGTTGCTCATTTTTGAGGAACTTTCACATTCTCCATAATGTCTTAACCTACACCAGCTTTTCTAAATCTGGTAACTTGTTTTGTTTTTTGTTGTGAAACTATGACAGTTATATTCAAAACTTTGTTTTGCAAAAGACGAAATATATATATTTTATTTTGATTGCAGGGAACATGTCTACTCATCTGATAGCTGCAACAATAAGTGGCAGAAGTTATAGATTGGTTTCAACCAAGCAGTCAGCCTGACAACAGACTTACTCTCTCAAGTAAGACATTTAAGTGTTTCAATATCAATGTCCTTCATATGTTTCCTGGTATATGCTTTCATTGTTTAGCGTACTTTCTCTGTTTTGCAGTTGCATCATTCTATCTGCTGTCGTAGGAGCCAAGTACTGTAGTCGTCAGTATTCAGTCAGCTGGTGGTAGCACAACATAGTTGTCCTAGCCCTATCGCCTTGTGTGTTTTCAGAATTACAGTAAAGAATTCCTCATTCGTCAAAGGGAAAGAGTAGAGTATGTATAGTAATAAGTTGCTTTATTTTACGTGTTAAGGTAACTGCGTGGTTGTAAATTTCATGTATGTTTGATTTCAGAACAGTTCACACGCAGTCTGTTTTAGGATATTGGTGCCTCTCAATTAGTTTGATCAGTTTGCTGCTACTTGTTGAAATTTTGAGGATCTTTTCACCTACAACTATTCTTCCAAATCTGGTAACATTTGTTGTTCTTTATTTCTTGTGAAACCATGACAGTTAAATCCGAAATGTTGTTTTTTCCAAAGACAAAGCATCATATATGTTATTTTGATTGCAGGGAACATGTGTACTCACTTATGTGTATTCTCACATTTCATAGCTGCAACAAGTGGCAGAAGTTATAGCTCTGTTTCAACCAAGTAGTCAATCCAACAAAAGACTCACTCTCCCCCAAGTAAGACCTTTAAATAATTTGATGTTTACAGTTATGCCCTTCACATGTTTCCTGGTACATGCGTTCATAGTTTAACATGCTTTCTCTGTTTTGCAGTTACATCATGGCATTTGCTGCCAGAGATTCGGATTGTGATATGTATTGTGTCGAGTGCCAACCTCCTCTTCTGTTTAGAGGGTCTGAGGATCTTAACGAGCATTACAAATTGAAACATGACCCACTTGATTCATACGGGTGTGCGTTTTTATCATGTAGAAAACGTCTCCGACACAAGTCATCTATGATGAGACATTTCAAGGACAACCACAAGGGTTTACCTAACATCGATCCAAGTAGCTCTCGCGCACTAGCATTTGAAGAAGCTACTCCATCAACATCACGAGAAGTAGTTGGCTCTAACCTTGGATGCATTACTGATGATGATGATGATGATGATAGACTTAGTGTGATAGTTGAGGGGGGAGAAACACCACCAACCCCTCCACCTGTTAATCTTGAGGAAGAAGTAAAGAAAGCAGCAGTTCAGCTCTTGGTGGACCTCAGATCGACAGCCAGTCTTACGGGAAAAGCTATAGAGAGATTTGAAATTGGTTGCAACAACTTACTTCAACAGTTCAGTGCTTCTGCCAAGGCCAAATTGTCAGAATGCTTGAAAGAGAAGGGAATGTCAGATGTGGATATTGCTGATGTTGTGAGCCATCTTGATGTAGAAGATCCCTTTAAAGGCCTTAGAACTATTGAAGAGCAACTGAAATACTTTTCTGAAAAATTTGGCCTAGTCATACCTGAAGAGAAGCTCTTAGATACAAGGATTGACAAAAGACTGGATCCTTCAACTAATTCCTACATTCATTGTCAGGTTTTTGAAACATTTCAGTATATTTCTTTGATTGCATCATTGAAAGCAATTGTTTCTAACAAGAAATACAGAGACTTAATCATCAAGAGTTGTGGCAGTGAAGATGGTGTGATTCGGTCTCACATGGATGGTTCACAATACAAGAGCCACCCGTATATTCAGAAACACAAGATTGTTCTCAACATTTTATTGTTTTTTGATGAACTTGAAGTTACAAACTCCTTGGGCTCAAAAACAATTATTCATAAACTTGCTGCATTTTTTTATCAGGTTTTGAATTTCCCCCCTGAGCTTTCATCTGAATTATCTTCAATTTTTCTGCTTACTCTAGCACATGCTGATGATTTGAAGAAGAAAGGTGCAATGGATAGAATCCTCATTCCTTTAGTGCAAGAGTTGAAGAAGTTGTGTTCGGAGGAAGGTGTGCCCTTGGGAGATTTTGATGGGATACCATTTGTACTTCGTGCTGTTATTACAGCTGTTACAGCTGATACCCTTGCTGCGCATGACCTTCTTGGGTTTCTGAGCTCTGGTGCTAGGCACTTCTGTCGTTGGTGCATGGTGTCTCGCAAGGAAATAAGAGCCAATGCCAATGCCACTGGTGTAAGGAGAACACCTGAACTTCACCGTCAACATGTTGATAGAGTCAAGGAAAACAAGGATTTTTCTACTGAATGTGGTGTTAAACAGGGTTGCAAATTGGACGAGGTGCCCTTCTTTTCCTGTGTGGAATGCAATGTGTTCGACTGTTTTCACGATTTATTAGAAGGCATAGTTCCACTCGTGATCAAACTTGTGCTTTACCATTACGTTGTTGTTAAGAAGCTTTTCACTATCTTAGACTTCAATGCCAGAATTGAATCTTTCTCATATGGTTATCCAGATTCCAAGAACAATCCAACAGCCAATTTCAGCGATTCAATGATCAGTAGTGTGAAAGATAAGATAAAGCAAACTGGCTCTCAAACTTGGTGTCTAGTTCGGGCATTTCCTTTCCTTTTGAAAGATTTTGTTCAGGAAGTGGATGAGCATCACAAGTTAATATTTCTTTTGCAAGACTTAATGCAAATTATCTTTTCCTTTGAAATATCAGAGAGTGATATTATCTCGCTTGAATGTTTAATTTATCAGCACAATGAATTATTCTTCAAGCTCTTCATTGCAAGTCAAAATATAAACCCAGAAATGCTTGTCGATCACACTGAAGAAGCAGAAGTGAACAATGAAGGCGAGGGCAGTGAAGATAGTGAAGATGTTGATAATGACCTGGAAGAACAAACTGAAACTGTGCCCCCAACGCCAGCTAGAAAGAAGAAAAAGAAGAAAAAGGAGAGAACAGTACATGTGACTAACAAGCTTCATCATCTCACTCATTACCCAGAAATGATAAGAAAATTTGGAAACCCTGTCAGAATGTGGTGCGCAAAGTTTGAAGGACGCCTAAAAATTTTCAGACAACATTCTTCTATTTGCTGCAACTTCAAAAATATTCCCAAAACAATGGCCCGAATGTTTCAGCTCAGCAACTTAAAAACACTTATCAACACCAAGGAAGAAGTTTTCCTAGAGCATCATCGTGGCTTCACTGTCAATCTGGCCAACTCATCCTACAGTAATATTTTGAGGCCGCTAACCAGCCAAGATAAAGTAATCATTACAAATAGTGCCAGCCTGCATGGAGAGGAATATAGACCCGGTCTATTTGTTGCGGTTCCATCTCCAAACCGTGATCCATTATTTGCTGTAATAAAGGTAGTTGTTGTTGCTGGAAAGGACATCATTCTCATTGCGGCACCTTGGAGAAATTTAGGAGTCAGCCCTCGATTCAATGCATTTGAGGTGATTCCAGAAACTGATAAGGAGGTAAGATGTCTCAACTGTACCAACATGAGCCTAACACCTGTCCTTTTATGTTTGTCATGACCTATAACTTTCAATTTCTTTACAGATGCGACAAGATTTAGCCATCAATGTTCGGTCTCTTGCAAACTTCCGGTGTATTGCCCCTTGGACATTCCCACGTTCAAATAAGACATATGTATCTTTACGTACGGTGCTTGTTTAAGAGGTACTACATATTGTTAAGTAAAAGCCTACCAAAATACATCTGACCCAATTCGTTTTCTCTTTAATTCCTAATTTTTTCTATTACTCTCTTACAGATCTAATATCACTTAGAATTGGAAAACAGCAGAACCAAAAGTGAACTGCATAGTATTTAATACAATTGTAATTGTGACAAGGTCAACACAGCCCTGTGTTAATCTACAATATCTCTGAAACATCTACTTTCTTTTTTCTTCACATCTGTATGGTTTAATTAATTTAATAGCTGGTAAGAGTGTCTCACATTGTTATAAATCAAATATTTTTTCTTTACATCTTATCTAATCTTGTCTCTCATCCAGGTTGATTTTTGAGTAATTTTTGTTTGCTTTCAAAGCCAATGCGCTTACAATCAATTGGAGATCTATTTAAAGTGCATCTAACTTGGTTGCTGGTGAAGTGTTGAGAAGGGGCCCATTTTTAACAGTCACTGTAAGTTTTATGTTAATTATCTTGATTTCCTTTAATGAATTGACAGAAAATTTACAATCTGTTCTGTTTTATTCTTACTTTCAGATTCAACTTTGTTAGGATTTTAAGTCAGCGGGCTAAAGTGCCTCAAATGTAATTCTTTGAAGTGACTGTTAACAGCAGTTGTAATGTTGTTTATCTACGGGTATACTACTGTGTGAAAACGGAGATAATTACTTCAGAGAGTTCATACTTCATTAGTTGGACATTATGTTCTAATGAGGTTCATGCATCCTTTACAGTGCTTGTTTAACAGGTATTGCATATTGTTTAGTAACATAGTACCTCTGTTCCTCTTTTGTGCTTTTTGTTTTCTCTTTAATTCCTAAGTTTTTCTATCCATCTCTTACAGACATAATTTCACTTGGAATTTTAAGACAGCGCTGGTCCATGGATGACTGTATCTTATGCACAATTATAACAAGGTCGACACAGCCCTGTTTTAATCTGCAAAATCTGTGAAGCATCTATCTTATCCTTTTATCTTCACATCTTTATGGTTTAACTAATTTAATCCCTGGTAAGAGACTCAGACATTGTTTTACATCCAATATTTTTTCTTTACATCTTATCTAATTTTGTCTCTCTTCCAGGTTGATTTTTGAGGAAACTTTGTTTGACCCTTCAAAGACAACAAGCTTACGCTCAGTTGTAGATCTATTTAAAGTGCGTTTCACTTGGTTGCTAGTGAAGTTTTGAGAGATTCAGGGACCTTTCTTCAAGAGTCACAGTAAGTTTGTTAGTTATCTTGATTTCCTTTAGAGTATTGACTGTAAATTTACAATCTGCTCTGTTATTCTTACTTTCAGATTCAATTTTATTAGTACTTCCAATCATTGGGCTAAACTGCATGGAATGTAACATACTCCTTGTTTGATCTACACTAGTTTGAACCTTTTATCTTAAATCTAAATTGTCAAATTATTTATATTCCCGGTAAGTGTCTCTCATATTCTATCAACATATTTTAGTTTCTTTGAATGTAATTTATTTGTTTTCTCTCTATCTTCCAGCTGAATTAGAATTCTTCTCTGTTGCACCTTTTGGTTTTCTTTGCCAATGGAATATTTTACTTATTTTTACTGTGCAGCAATTTAAGACTTTTTACAGTCAAGTTGAATGTATCATCTCTTTATATTCATGTGAATATGTGGGAATTACCTTGTGTATTTATTTTAAAAGTTGCCCTCTATAGTTCAGGCATTATTTTACTGATGTTTTTGACATACTGCAGTGTGTAAGAAGAGAGAACTATTTGGGAAATAGAGAGTTTAAACTTGGATGGTAAACTATATTTTGATTTATATTTGAAAGTTTATTTCTGGATCCTTATCATACAAAAGTCAAGACACGCATGTTGATTAATTCAAGTGCTAAGCGATATCAGCTGTTGGTGTTGGAAGCAGTTAAGCATATTGGTTGACATGCAGAAAAAAACAGTTTTGCAAGCACACCTGGGAACAGATTAAAATCAAAAGAAAATATTAGCAACAAAGACAAAATAAGGAAGCAATGCAACTGCTGGCACAACAAAGAGAGGTTAAAAACATTATGGTGAACAGGCGGGGAAGGAAAAGCACAACGCAAACAATGGCAAAAGTTCGGCTGGTATTTGGAAAAGAGAAAACATTTAATGAACATGATCGACAGCGTTTGTTAGCGTGAATTTACAACGTGCAATTATCAGTTTGAATAGTTCAGAAAGCAAAATCGCTGCAGGGGGAGCACTTACTTTACGCTACGATCCACCCCTCACCCTCGCCCGCCCCCCCTTCCTAAATCCCACAGCCTGCGCTAATTAGAGGAAACGTGTCAGCATGCGGTCGACTGTTGGGTTGGATCGACTATAAGAGTCGGGTCGACTAAACTCAAAGCCTTACAAGTAAAATACTGTAAAATACTAGTAAACAAACATGACATTGCTCGATATGCTAAGTCTTTATTCTGAACGGAAGACCTACGGTAGATGGTTACAGCTTTTCGCGCTGTTTCCCGTCATGGAGTATTTCAACGCCGTGTTTTTTTGTGAGAAGCCCATCAGAGAGTACTTTTGTCGGCGCATCATACAGAGAACAGGAGACCTGTGGATTGCCAGGCCACCTTGCCCACGGGGCTCCCACCCACCACAGTTTTTAGCTTCTATCAGATAGCAGGTAACCTCATTCAATCAGAAATAAATTTACATTAACCTGCAAATGCCTATTGTGGCTGTATCACCTTAAGAGAAACAACAGATAACAAATAACAGATCCATTTCAGGAAGGTTATTAATGCTGTTTGGTCATGGTTTATTCCATTAAAGTAGCATTTATTGCAAAATATGTTCATTGAAACACATTTGAAACAATAGGTGGTAGGAATAACCTGCTGTGTAAGATAGATCTGTTATCTGTTATTTGTTATGTGGTATCTGTTATTTCTCTTAAGGTGATACAGCCTGTGTATTGTGCTTACCATATGAACTATTTAGCAAGGCATTTGTATACTTTTTGCTATTCATACCTTATGAACTATCAAACAAGAAATTTGTGCACTTTTTGCCATTCATACCTTATGAACTATTTAATAAGAAATTTGTGTACTCTTTGCTATTCATACCTTATGAACTATTTAACAATCAATTTGTGTACTTTTTTCTATTCATACCTTATGGAGAATTTTGTTCAGAAGATACGAACAAACAGGAGAACCAATGGTCTGTGCAATTATCCGTAGTTGCGGCTGTTTTAATTCATAAGATGTGAATTAAATAGTTCATAAGACAGGGCTGTATAGGATCCCTGGCCTGGTCTAGAAATGTGTTCAATAA